TGACTTGAGGACCAGACTGATCACTGACATAGTTGCAGCAATATTATATACAAACCAAGGCATAAAAAATAACGGTGATACTTTGTTAGAACCTGTAAATAGTATGCAGTACACAATACTCATATCTGTAATAAGAAAATTTTGAGTAATTTGTTCGGTTTTTGAGAATTCTTCGTTTGTGTTTGAGGAATTTGGTAATTTTTTTGTGGCAACACTGATTAATACTAGAATTTGGATTTTCTATACACTTTCTTAGAAAATGTGGTTCCGAACAAATTACTCCGCCCTAACATTAGCGCATACAAGGGGTTTCAAACTTTCATAAACAAGAAATCGAGGCAAATCAAAATTAAAACTCTTTTAACATTTTTTACTACTTTTGGAAGTTCAGCGCATCTTGTTTTTAGAAACTTTCATTAAACAAGTTATTTTTTAAGCAAAAATATATACAAATTTAGGAGTGCCGGTAATTTTTTCATGATCCAATGATCGGATCTAAACCAAATAATCTTTCCGATAAAAAAAAAAAAAACAATTATTGAAATCGGTTCACGTAGTCCAAAGTTATGCGGTAGCATCCATAAAAGAGAAAAAATATTCCGACGAATTGATAACCTCCCCTTTTTTTGAAGTAGGTTAAAAATGTTTTCGTTCTTTGCAAATTATGAAACATTAAAAAGTTAATTTATTTATTTATTACATACTGTACATAAAACTTGCATAAATGTATTTTAAAGAGCAAATTATCTGCAGCGAATTTTCAGTATTTTCTGGTGATATATCTTTAGAAGTATAAACCCCTCCCAAAATATATTTCTGGTTGCACCCCTGCGCCCTATCATACATACATATCTACAGTATATTTTGCTTAGCTGTCCATCCTTCTTTGCCTGAAAAACTTGTGCGCTTAACCGAAAAAAGCACTTAAGCGAATTGTCTTTACTACTTCAAGGAGGAAGGTATCCGAATCCCTATGAAACCAAATAATGTAGGTACCACGAAGGAATTACTGCAAGCGAAATTTTTTCCGAATGGTATCTAATTATCTGTATAACTACATAAAATGATAGCCGCTTTCGTTATTTTGCGAGATGAACAAAATAAATAAAACCTTGAAAAATTAGGGTAAGTGTAGAGCCAGTGCAGGTAAACGTAATACTTTCTTTGATAATTGATAATATTTGCAAATTTTTAAGACAGGTATCGCTAATGTGTAGGTATGTCGAATGCATCTATCGGAACAATTTTCTTATAAATGTTAAAAATAATGCCGCTGATGCACATTTTTGGATAGGTATCTTAAACGCGCACTTAAGCACAAAAACAGCAGAGCAAAATATACTATATATACTTTTAACATATGTAAATTTTTTTAAAATATTTCGTTATGAAATTTCAAGGATGTTTAAGGATGCATTTTTTAAAGGACATTACTGTAGTACTACATTCGTCTAGCGAAAAGTTGATATACACAAGCTAAAGTTAGCCAATCAAATGACAGCCCAATGTTAAATATAAACGCAGTTTACTCAATCTTGGTTTAAACTAGCACTGAAAAATTGGCCTAAGTAAAACGGTAGTTAAACACATGTCAGTGGTTTTCAGATAAAAGTCTGTCACCTCGTATGCGCCGATCTCGATCGATTCCAGATCTTCCAAGTACTTTTCATAATAAAAGTTTAACTAGATGATTTTTTTATGTAGACTGACTTGATTAAAAAACGCCTTTTAATGACAATACAAGTCACCGAAAAAAATGTTACCATTTTAATTATAAGAATATGGAAATTTGAAGAACATACACAAATATTTTATGATACTTTACGATTTTTTATTTACTATGCTTTATGTGATCTTTTGGCAAAATAACTTACGTCACTTATTTGGACCCACCCGGGTGAAAATTTCGAACGTAAAATGAATCCAGTTTTAGATTTTGAACAAAAAGTTATTTGACCAGACAAAACTGCTTAAAAAAATTGTCTTCAGGAGCCCACATATTTTGCATTGTTGACCATTTTAAATTTTGTTTTTAGTTTTATAAATTTAATGTGTTAGTTTTTCTACAAAAACTACGTAAGAGTTGCAGAAAATCTGTTTGACGTAACAATTGTGTATTTGTATCACTTTTGACCAGGTGAAGTAATAAGAGCGAGAATAAAGATTTGACACTACCTTATTTGTAAAATATGCCTTTAAGAAAATAAAGCGAGAAAGCTATTTTCTTACTTCACCTGTTTATTATATCACCATGAGTTCATATAAAAAATTTGCTGTGTTCGACAAGTGTCAAGTGCTAAAAACGCATGAAGATTGGTGAAAAAGTAAAAAAAATACGAAAATAATAACAACAAAGTCTTTTCTCTTTTGAATATAGTTTTATAAAATTTGGTTTCAATGGGTAGGTTCAGTAGGTGCAGAAGTTGAGCGCAACCGTTGCTAAAAAAATCAATGATCGTAATGCGTCTTCTGAACGGCTTGATACATTAGCTGTCAAATTCAAAACACACAACACGTTGTCTCAAATGATCAGAAAAATATTACGATCATCTAACACGCAACTGTTCAGTTGATCAGAAGTACAAAACAACGCGTTCAGAAGGTGCAATCGCAACAGTTGCTGAGCTGTTGCGCCTTCTGAACGTGCCCAATATCGTGTTTGTCATTTGTAGTATTGGGTGATGAATTAGGAATGAAGTATTCAAAGATGTTATGAAAACACAAAATGGAAAAAGAAATAAAAATTAATGTGCTTGCGTGCCAATTGCATAGTAAATTAAACTAGTGCACTACTTACGTGCATTCATATTCGTTCCATAGGTCCACACATTCGAACGGTTCCGGACATATGACATTCGAGCAAGGTTTATTGGAAGGGCAATTCTTTTCAAGATTCCGTGCCATAGTGGCTTGACCCCATTGCGTACCATTCATAGCCGGTGGTAAAGGCAAATGCTTGCCCTCCAGCCTAAAAAGATTCAAATACACCCACAAATCAAAATGAGTTCGACATGAGTTAGAAAGCCATGCAAATAATGGCCCGCGGCTTAGCAAACTTCTTAACGCACACCAGCACACATGTACATATGTGGCAGCATTCATCAAGAACACTTCGTTTTTCGCCGTACACTCACCTGATATCATCCAGGCAGCTCTTTTGGTAGTCCGCATACACTTCGAACGTTCGCACGCCCGTATATTCAGCTTTTCCGCCAGCATAAACACCCTCTTGTTTGTCAACCAATAGCCACTGGTGCCCAGCAAATTCAAACGTCTCGTTGTAGCGACGTCCTTCGCCACCATCCAACTCCAGTGTCGCTGCAGAGCCATAACGATTAATACGCACAACATGCCACTGACCATCATCTACCACGACCGCGTTCAACCATAAATCTTTCTCCTCCGTACGCAGCGAATTGAGATTGTAGCGGAAGTGTAGACGTGCGTCCTTAATTTCTAAAATTCCATATTCGCGGTTATGTTGGTCTGAAACGCGAAACAGTTCCCCGTGTTGCTCGCGCGTACGGAAACGCAATTGAATTTGCGTGCTAAAACGATCCGGTTCAAAGCTGAGCGCATATTTAACGTAGCTCTGTTGCTTGAAGGTGGTAGGTATGGTGGGTATGTTACAAGCAGGACCAGTCCATCCGGGTCGGCATTGGCAGCGTGCTTCTGAAAGCGAGCCAACACAGTTGCCATGTTCCCAACAGCGTGCCGTTTGCTCCGACTGTGAGCAAACTTCTTCCGTTTGTTGGCAACCTGTGACGCTGTTGCGTGAAAGTCCAGGATGCGCCAAGTCATAGAGTTTAGAATTGAATACTAAATTACGTATGCAGCCATCAAAGGCTTTTGCGTTGGGCGCATAATGCCAGAAGTAGAGCGAGGGGTCAAAGAGGTCACGGTATATGCCACCTACCTGCAGTGGACCATTTACATTCAGATATTCATTGAACGGTGGTATTTGCCCACGCGCCTGGCAGGACATGTCATCAAACTCCGGTGGTGTGCCATCTTCCATTTCACTAATATCCGCAGACTTACAAAAATCTATAACCATACGCACATTTTCCGTATCCCAAAAGACATCAATACGATGCCATTCTCCATCATCCAGAGACTTTTTAGTTTTAACACGCAATTCCAAAGTACCTGAGCCGAAGTCTATAAGCAAACGCGGGTAGCCACGTTCCAGCTCAAGTGCAATGTAATCAGTGATGATCATTTCCTCGCGCTCCGGAGGCACAATGGGACCATTGTAAATGAAAAGGCCATCAGGTTTGCGTGTGATAAACTCCAAACTCAAATGTGACTCGTCGCACATCTCCAACGATGGGTACCAAGCCCAACCATTTCCGCGGAAGCTGCGCGTAGTCTGCTGACAGCGTGGACCATTGTAACCCGCTGGGCACGAGCAGTGCGGGCCAAAGCGCGTGTCCACACAGCGTCCACCATTGTAGCAAGGTGTGTTACGACAAGATTCTGGTTTTGAAAAGTTTCGTGCGCCACAAGTACACTCAGCCAAAGTGTCTACGCGCACACCCACCAAGGCAGTCTTATTCGCGTTAACCATATACGGCAACGAGCTGATGTCCAACGTGTTCGTACAGGAACCCTCAGACATCTGGTTTTCGTATAAGCATTCATCAATGCCAACCATTGTGATATTAAAGCCCACATCCTTTTCGATTTCCTCGCGATTCATCAGAACAATACCGTTGAGACGCACTGGCTTGTAGTAGGGAGAGCCATGCGCCGAAAAGCGTATATCGGTAAGTGGTGGATGGCGGCGCTTGAGTTGCACACTGAAAATATCCACGTTCTCGCGATCTGCGTTCAGCAAGTCGGCCAGCTTGTCACGGAAACGATCCAATTTAGAGCGACTCAAGCTCTGTGTGCGATAGTTCCAGACGCGTATGAAGTCTTCATCAGTAATGCCGGCAACACGTATAGAGCCTGAGTTGATTACAGCTTCATGAGAGATTTCACGCACTGTTACCGATATATTTGCTGGCACATCAGTTTGGGTGTGTTTGCGATCGTAAACCTTGAAGCGCAAGTGATAACGTCCTTCGCGCGTACCAGCTCGCATTGTTACCATGCCAGAGTCTTCATCTAACTTGAAACGAGGATGTTCTTGAGACTCCCAGTAGAATTTCTTATCAGGCAAATCCCAATCGTCTAGGTCATAAACGTACACGCGGCCAATCGGCGTGTCTGGAGACTGACCTTGATAGTTATACACGAAAATGTCTTTAGATCCTGGTTGCATTTTATTGTCGTTGACATCGCCGATGACGACAGTGAGTGTGCTAGTGCCGGTCATCGCCGGTGAGCCATGGTCCTTAATAACAATGGGGATCATGTACTCCTTTTGTTGCTCACGATCGAAGGAGCGGAGAGAGGAAATAACAGCCATGCCATCGCCATTAGCGCCCTCTGTGGAAAAAAGGGAAAATGTAGAGAAGAAATTAGATATTGTGAAAAAGTATTTAAACTTTTATTTCGAAAGTCATAAAAGGGAGGCTCCGCTAAAATTATAAAAGTTCAGTCAGTAAAATATCGGAAAGTTTATGGAATATTTAATGTTTTTTATTACATTTTCACTTTATCATAATTAACGGCTCATTTGTAATTTATAGGCAAATCATCCTGAGTAATTTCACTTTGTAAAATTTGTCAATAAATTAAATAGAGATGATATAATCTACTATAAAACAAGAACCAAATGAAGAAAAAAATTATATATCATTTATTTCAGCCCCCACTGTTGAGCAAATTTGAAAAAAATGCCTAGAGGTATGCAACCCTTTGTTTTTTGAAATCAAGTACAACCCAACAAGCAAAATAAACTTTAAGAAAGTTTTTTTTAAGTTTTCAATTATAAACATTAAGCTTACAAAACGTTGATTTTTTGTTTATAAAACGCTTGAAAGTAAGCGTAATATAATCGAAAAGGAACATTGGTTATAAGCGTAGAAATATAAACTTGTAATAAATGTTCAAAAGAAAGCTTTTTATAAGCGTAAAAGTGTAAACTTATAATAAAGGTTCAAAAAAAGTTTTATATAAGCGTATCACTATAAACTTACTAAAAATTTTCAAAAGAAAGCTTTTTATAAACATTTTTATAACCCTTTATTTAAAGATATTTCATTAAAACCTCATACATAGATTGCTTAACATCTAGAAACTAAACGAAATGCGAATTTTCCGCGGACTCATCTACAGTCGCGAAAATATAAATAGGAAATCGACATTTTAGCATACGAATTCACAATAACACATACAAATTAAGCATAAAAAAGTTAATTATTACATCTTGTTGCGTGCTTTCAATTACTTGCGGTTATTGGCAAATTGGAAAAGGGACATCGATGCAGCTATATATTGCGCTTTATCGCCGCCATTCTCATTGATGAACTTTTCTGAAAAAAATTTAATACATTTTTAATTGAATGTTAAACTAAGAAAGGATAAGGGGAACTCATCATTTGAAGGCTCGAATGCTCCACCGACTAGCGCAGCGGGTCCTGGATTGGATTTTCTTGTTTTACCGCATTGGTTTTATTTATTTTTTTATTTTTTTATTTTTTTTTGTTTTTTTGAAAAAACTTTTAATAAGCTTAATATTAAAAATGCTTATTTAACGCTTATTATAGCAAACTTAATTTAAGTTATTTTTAAAAACGTTTACTGAAATGCTTGTTGGGAAACTACTTACTCATACGTACACATGCTAATCACATATATATAGAAAATATGAAAGAAAATGTGAAGTAATTTGATCGAAACAAAACCATTTATGCTGTAATGTGAACATAGTTTAAAATTTCAAATTAAACTTGAAATACGACTGCAAATCCCGCAATCGTGATTTGTTTAAACCAGGGACCGTAACGGTTATAAGTTTTATTATAAAAATCACTTTTTAATCGTTATTAACTGAGTTTTATTTTTTGCTCGGAAAATAATCGTTACGTTTTAAGTTTTATTTTTTGCTCGGAAAATAATGGTTACGTTTTAAGTTTTATTTTTTGCTCGGAAAATAATCGTTACGTTTTAAGTTTTATTTTTTGCTCGGAAAATAATGGTTACGTTTTAAGTTTTATTTTTTGCTCGGAAAATAATCGTTACGTTTTAAGTTTTATTTTTTGCTCGGAAAATAATGGTTACGTTTTAAGTTTTATTTTTTGCTCGGAAAATAATCGTTACGTTTTAAGTTTTATTTTTTGCTCGGAAAATAATGGTTACGTTTTAAGTTTTATGTTTTGCTCGGAAAATAATCGTTACGTTATAAGTTTTATTTTTTGCTCGGAAAATAACCGTTTTTTCTTGAGTTTTATTTTTTGCTCAGAAAATAAAACTTAAATTTTGCGTATGCGTATGCTCTTTTTTGCACTTTTTTTTAGAAATGTGGTTCTCTTTGTTTCTGCCCTGGTATCTGTATTTTCATTACCCACTCCACAGTGGCGTTAAAGGTTCAATGCAGCCGCCCCTGTCTATTCACGCATGCGCATACGCATACGCAAAAATTAAGTTTCATTTTCTGAGCAAAAAATAAAACTCAAGAAATAACGATTATTTTCCGAGCAAAAAATAAAACTTAAAACGTAACGATTATTTTCCGAGCAAAAAATAAAACTTAAAACGTAACCATTATTTTCCGAGCAAAAAATAAAACTTAAAACGTAACGATTATTTTCCGAGCAAAAAATAAAACTCAAAACATAACCAGCTTCCCAGTAAAACAAAATCGCCGTTCAAAGTCGACATAAACTGTGGGGACCCCTTTTGTGCCACAACATTAATAGCCCGAACACAATGAAAACGACGAGCTATGGACCATAGCTGTCAAATTATTTTAACACGTACTCTTATGTAGATGGTTCTGGCCAGATTAGATCTATTTCTATTTTTCCAGCGACAGATTAGGTTCTTCCTCTTCTTTTGTGTCAAACTCGTACAAATTCATGATGTCGCCGACGCATTCAAAAAAATCATGTCGCTATCGACAAAGCGTTTAGACAATGAAGATAACAAATTGGAAGTATGGGTGATGGGGTTAAAAGTGGGCCAAAGTTCAATTTTTATTTCAAATAATGTTTGTAACTATATAACATTCAAGTATACCAAAATTGAAAGTTATACCTAAAGTATTACGGACAATACGGCATTTTACTAATTTCGACTGTATGGCAGGTGGGCGTAAAAGTGGGCGAATTTTCTTAATTTTTTTTTTTAAAACTGGAATTGTCTCAAAAATAACCTGTGCAAAATTTCAGAGCTCTACAATGACTCCTTGTATTTAATGCCGGCGTTGTCTCACTGTGCGGCGGTGTCCATTCGAACGACATGGCCAAGCCAGCGGACCCGCTGTATTTTAATTCGCTGCACTATGTCCATGTCGTTGTAAAGCTCATACAGTTCATCGTTCCATCGTCTGTGGTACTCGCCGCAAATCTTTCTCTCAAACACTCTAAGAGCCGCCTCATCGGATGTTGTCTTTGTCCATGCTTCTGCGCCATATATCAGCACGGGCATGATGAGTGAATTATAGATCGTGGTTTTCGTACGTCGAGAGAGGACTTTACTCCTGAATTGCCTACTAAGTCCAAAGTAGCACTTGTTGGCAAGAGCGATTCTGCGTTGGATTTCAATGCTCCAATGCTGGTTCCCAAGTAAACGGAATTCTCTACTTTCTCGAAATTGTAACTGTCAACAGTGACGCGGGTGCCAAGGCGCGAATGTGCTGACTGTTTGTTTGATGACAGGAGATACTTCGTCTTGTCCTCGCTTACCACCAGACCCATTCGCTTTGCTTCCCTATCCAACTTGGAAAAGGCAGAACAGACTTCACGGTTTTTGTTACCGATGATGTCGATGTCATCGGCATAAGCCAGCAATTGCACGCTCTTGTAGTAAATTGTTCCTGAGCGGTTCAGTTCTGCAGCTCTTATTATCTTCTCCAACATCAGATTAAAGAAGTCACATAAAAGGGAGTCACCCTGTCTGAAACCCCGTTTTGTGGCGAACGGCTCGGAGAGGTCTTTCCCAATTCTGACGGAGCTGGTGGTATTGCTCAACGTAATTTTACACAGCCGTATGAGTTTTGAGGGGATGCCAAATTCGGACATAGCGGCGTATAGGCAACTCCTTTTAGTGCTGTTAAAGGCGGCTTTAAAGTCGACAAATAGGTGGTGAGTGTCGATCCTTTTCTCGCGGGTCTTTTCCAAGATTTGGCGTATTGTGAATGCCTGGTCTATGGTGGATTTGCCAGGTCTAAAGCCAAACTGATAAAGCCCAATCAGTTCATTGACGGTAGGCTTCAGTCTTTCACACAATACGCTCGATAAGACCTTGTAACCTATGCTTAGAAGGCTGATCCCGCGGTAGTTGGCGCGAACGGCGGGGTCACCGTTTTTGTGGATTGAGCAGAGCGCACTTAAATTCCAGTGGTCGGGCATGCGTTCATCTGACCATATTCTGACCAAGAGTTGATGCATGCACCTTATCAACTCCTCGCCGCCGTACTTAGATAGCTCAGCTGTCAGGCTGTCAGCTCCAGCAGCTTTGTTGTTTTTCAGCCGCGTTATTGCTATACGTACCTCGTCATAGTCAGGCGGTGGAACGTCGACTCCGTCATCATCGACTGCGGGCTCGGGTTCTTCTTCTCCACAAGTTTCCATGCTGCTACCATTTAGAAGGGCGGAAAAGTGTTCCCTCCATAATTTAAGTATGCTCTGGACATCAGTTACTAGGTCGCTATTATTGTGCTTACAGGAGTACGCCCCGGTCTTGAAACCTTCCGTAAGTCGCCTAACTCTATTGTAAAATTTTCGGGCATTCTTCCTGTCCTGACACCCCTCATCGAACCAGTTGTTCTTTCGGGCTCGCTGAAATCCGATCACTTCTTCGGCGGCGGTACTTAATGAGCAGGTGTGAAAGTCGAGTAGCGAAAGCGCTGGCTATCTGTTGTGATTGCAGCTTTTCGACGTAAAGCTTTCCTTGCATATTTGGACGCACATTTTTTGCTGCACAGAGGCGGGTGCGTATCTTGGCTGCAACAAGATAGTGGTCCGAGTCGATGTTTGGGCCTCGAAGTGTGCGTACGTCTAAAACACTGGAAGCGTGCCTTCCCTTCTATCACAACATGATCGATTTGGTTTCTCGTTTTTCGATCCGGAGACAGCCACGTAGCTTAATGGATCTTTTTATGCTTGAACCTAGTACTGCATACCACCATGTTTCGGGCCCCGGCGAAGTCGATCTGCCTCAATCCGTTGTCGGACGTTTCGTCGTGGAGGCTGAATTTTCCGACGGTGGTTCCAAAGATCCCTTCCTTGCCCACCCTGGCAATGAAGTCGCCAAGCACGATTTTGATATCATGACGGGGGCAGCGCTCGTACGTGCGCTCCAAGCGCTCATAGAAGAGATCC